ACATCAGCAAAAGCAGCGATCGCAGCATCACACTACCACATACGCCAAGAAGTAAGCGACACTGAGTAAAGACCTTGCTCCAGACACACCTTCAATCCAAAGACAACCGCTATAAACATGCTCGTCGAAACGATGCAGCAGTAGATACTTTGGCTTTGGCTGATCGAATCAGTCTGCACCTTGTCGTCTCTGCTTTTCTGTGTGGGATTGCACATACAACAGCTAGCGCCGCAGCAAACTCGGTCATCGAAGCAAACATGCTCAAGACACAGTGGGTGGTGTCTCGTGGTCGACGTTACCCCACATTATGGCACTTCGTGTGGGATCCAGACACAAGGGATATGCTGTGGCCCGAGGCCTCACGCACAAAAGACTTGTACCGCACCTGCTGACAAGTTGCGAATAGTAGTACGTACATGGCAACATTGACCTGCATGACGCGTAACCCATCCGTCGTACGAGGATAAAGGCCAAGTCGGATATCAATTGATTCGCTCGGCAAAGAGAGTAATTGACCGCAGACAGCGCTTTGCCTGTATTTGCCATTACCTGCCACGACTTTCGACGTAAACGACGAGCCCACCAGACCGCTCGCTGCGTCAAGTCAAAGTCAGCCCACGACAAAAAGCCGTCGAGGGGATACCGTCTCTGCGCATCTCAGCATGCAGACAGAAGCGCGTCGACCAGCAACGACACTCGAGACGCCCATATCGACAACGACAGCCACCCACCCACCTCCGTCCACTGTCGATCCACCGTATCCAGCAGAGCCCTTTTTTCCCCGTTTGCAACAGAGCCGCGAGCGCTCAGTAGCCGTCGCCAGCGCCGTCAAAGCTGCCGCGTGACCTCCGCCGGCAACGGCCGCACGACGCCCAGTCCCGACTGCGCCGTCGAGAGAAAGTAGGACCGCGTGTCGCCAAACGAGAGCACGACGGCCTTCACCAGCGCGTCGGGCGCGAACACGTCGTCGAGCGCGAGTTTGTCCACGTCGTGAGTCCGCACGTCTTCGAGGCGGAGAACGCCGGGGAACGGCTCGCGGAAGACCGTCTCGCGCACGCACCAAATGTCCACTACCACCTGCCGAGCCGTGAGCTTCCGCACGCGGCCAATCACGACGTCGCCTGGACGGAGCACCTGCGCGGACGCCACCGTCGCCCCGCGGCCGCGCGTGACGGCGACGACGTCCCCCTGCGAGACGCTCCACGTGCCGCCTATGGACGCGAAGATCGCGCCGTCGCGTGCGTAGGCGCCCGGACCGGCCGTGAGCGGCTTCTCCGCGGCCGCAACAAGGCGCTGGCCAGGCACCGCGACGTTCATGGCGAGTGGCTGGGCGAGTGGCAGCGTTGATTGGTTGAAATCAAAGCCGGCGGAGCTTCGCGGCCACTGATTGGCCGAGCGCAACGGACCTCCTCGCTACCACCGGGACGTCCCGCGCAGCAGTGCTGGCGCAGTTACGGTATGGTGCGCCTCAAGACGCGGTACGTGGTCCTTGAGGCCACAACAGGCGGCCGCAAGTCGGTCGGCACGAAAGAAGACATTGTCCGGTTGGTGCGCGCGTCGATTGCCGCGAGTTACGGGGACGTGGGGTCCGGAGTGGCCCAGTACGCTTTTCAAGGTGCGTGTGTGTGCCAACGTGCACAACAGTCGACAGCGTCGAAGCGGGTCTGAACGTGGCCTCGATGCCGCCTGTTGGTTGCTCCTAGTGCTCTACTACAATGCGCACACGCGACTTGCGGTCGTTCGATGTGCCCGCGAACTGTGCAAGATGGTCGAGACGTCGCTCGTGTTTGTGACTGCTGCGCACCATCAAGACGTTCGTCTCCGAGTGGCTCGTGTGTGCGGTACGAACGCTCGAGGACGCTGCGTGGTGGTGGCACGGGTTGGTGGCATGGGTTGGTGTGTGACGGGATGTGACGCGACTTGCGGTGTGTGTGTGTGTGCGCTGTTTGGCCAGGCTCGAGTCGCACGTGCAGGAAGTACCTGCTGCAGTACTCCATGGAACGGGCAAAGACGATGAACCTGTATGCGACGCAGCCCACGTTCGACGAGGACGTGCAAGCCGAGATTGCACGAGTTGATCCGCACTGATCCTCGCTCGCTTATTTAATACCGAGCAGCGCTGTGCCAGTGCCGCGTCTCTCTTTCTCGCTCTCGCAACTTGTTGGGCCACCGTGTGGATCGCCAGCTGGCCGACTGCTACCGGTCTAGTCAATGGACTTGCCCTGTTTCTCGTACTCCGTTTCGATCTGCGAGCAGTGGAAGTCCACCTCCTCGAAGATATCGCGCACGTTCTTGTTAGGCACTTCCATCACGTGCTTGCCCCCATTGACTGCACCGCAGCACAGCGACGTGTTGGACACAGCAAACACCACAGCACAACTTCGTTGACAATGGACCACCCCCGCGAGATAAAACACTTGGGCAACGTACTGAAGTCCAGTTGGATAGTGGGCACGGAGCCCGCCAAGGTCGTGTGCTGCTCGATCTCTGCCTTGGGGTTCACCTTGCGCGTCTACACGTGCCAACCAGTACACAACCCCTCATCAGCATCAGCATCATCATCTTCTTCTCCTTCATCCTCCTCCTCCTCTCTTCTTCTTCTTCTTCTTTGTCCTTCTTCCTCCTCTAAACACCACAAAGGCTCTGCAATGCAACGCAGCGACACTCACCTTCTGCGCCGTCATCTGGCGGTAGAATTCACTGGCAATGGATCGAATTCACAGCCCCCGACACCATTGAGTCAGGTACACAGAGACCAGAGACACCGAGACACTCGACAAGAACAGCAAAAGAGACGTCGCCACTCACCACGCACCAGTTGCCCGCCCATCAAAGCTCGAGAAGGAAATTTTGGCCGACTTGAGGAACCGCACGACGTTACGGGCCGCCATGTTGTGGACTACTGTTGCGCGGGACTGGATGGACGCAACGTCTTGAAGAAAGGATAGCAATATTACCAATTACGACAAAAATCACAATAACAGCATAGCCCAACCAAATGACAACTATCACAGCATCGACAGCCATGACATCAACAACAACAGCACGACCATAACAGCAATAACAGCAACATAACCCCTTACAAATATACCAACAAATAGAGCAATGTCAGCAATACCAACCAGAACAAGGATTGCAATTGCAATAGCACCCATAACACTACCCATAGTGGCGACGATAGTGATCCTGTCGGACCGCATACCCTCTCGAATTCGCTCAGCACCAGCGCGACCGACCGTCCGACCGCGCCAGTGTCAGTCAACATGCCCGAAGAGCCGGCAATCGACCGCGAGAAGCACTGCCCCTTTCTGCTGCGCGTGTTCTTCAGCAAAGGGGCACACAACAGGCAGGAGAAGCGCATTGCTGCGGCACTGATTCCCTGCCGGCAATCGATGCGCAACTGACGATGCTGTGTGTGTGTGGATATGGCGACACTCTTTTGTTCGGTTGTCGATGCCCAGGGCCGAAGCCTTTGAAGCACTGGACGATACGCCAATCGCCAATGAGCTGCACATTTACACGTGGTACGTCGTCGAGCGACTGTGGTATAGCGTGTGTGGTGTGTCACGCACGAGCAGCAGAAGAAGAGCTACACGCGGTGACTGAGCCTGTGACTGAGATGGTCGGTACAGGCCCGACGCCACACTTCGCGAGATGGCAGACCTCGTGCAGGACTCGTACGTCGATGCGCAGAAGCCCAACATGCGTCTGAGCATTTGCGTCGTGTCCGAGACGCGGGACGGCAGGTGAGGCGACGTGACGGAGCGATCGACCGGTTCTGCTGCTCGGGTAGTGGTTGACACACGTGTGCCCGGACGGCGTCGAGACTGACTTGAGGTGTCTGTATGGACGTGACGTGACTGCAGACTGCTCATGCGCAAAGTCGGCTACGTGAACAGCAGTCGACGTCGATGTGCGGACGACAACAAGTCGCTCGCTAGTGTTCGGTTCCGTCCAGGCGACTTGCTGGACATTGCACTCGTCGAGTAGCGCACGTCAAAGACGACGAGTGCACGTGTTGCAACCAGACACTCGGGTTTGCCCATCATATATCGTGTACCACGAGCGCCGCGTCGGGTAATTGTTAATCACTTAATACAGTACCACCGAGTGGTCGAATGGGTTCTGCCGTGGCAGTATCGGTTTGAAGAGGGTTTGCGACTCGCTCGGGCTCCAGTCCCGCAGACGAAATGGTGTTAGTGACGACGGACACGTTCCTGGACAAAGTCGCCGCGTTCTACGCAGCAGCGCACGACTCGAAGGGCTCTGTCGCCATCTCGTGCAAGAGAGGTACGTCTCTTGACGTGCAGTGGTCGAGCGGTGCAACGACGCACTGTGTGCTGACGGCAAAGTGTGTGTCATTGCGTTTGGTCTCGTTCTCTGTCTCTGTCTTGTTGTTGTTGCTGTTCTTCTTGTGGGTTTGTGCCCATATATGTAGTGCCAGTGACCAAAGCAAATGGGAAAGCGCAGCAGAAGATCCGGAAGCTGACGGTGGAAGACGGCGAGCACGTGCTGCTGTTCCGCGCTTGCAAGTACGGCAACAATAAGCACAAGAAGAAATACAGCACAGTGGTGAGACGAGAGAGGCTCGAGAGAGCGAGAGAGAGAGACTGAAGGGACGACGATTGCTCACGCACTGTGTCTGCTGCTGCTGCTACTACTGCTACTGCTACTGCTGTTGTTGGTGCTGGTGTAATGGTGTAGGTGACGGCAGTGCATCACGCGTCGTTCCACGCGTCGCTGAGTCAGATTGTCAAGACGAAAGTGGACGCGACCACGAAGGACATGGCTGGCAAGAGTGCGGGGAAGCGCGTGGTGGCCAAAGTGACGAAGACGGCGCAATAGATAGAGACGCAGTGTGGGTTCGAAGGTGCAGGTCTAGCGAGCACTGGAGGCGATGAATGGAAAGCTTTGAGTGGGTACGGCGATACAGGACGGGGAACTAGTACACGAGAGAGGTCAGTTGGGTCTCTTGTACCGCGGCTCGTATTTACTTGCACTTATTTTTGCGGTAAGGCAGCCGGGGAGGCCGCGACGATCGGGTCTGTGTCGGTCTGCAAGTACGTGTTAAAAGCTGGCAAGTCGTCAATGAGGCTCATGTCCCCCAACACGTCACCCAAATAGTGGTTGCGTCGAGACGCCCGTCGTCGACCTTCTTGCAGGCCAGTGCTGGACAGCAGACACCCCACCATTGGCATGTAGTCGAGGGTGAATCGCGGTTCCGAGGTCCCGCATCTGCGACAGATAGACAGCCAGCCACACAGCGTGAGGTGACAATGACCGGCATAGCAGTGGCACTCGAGATCAACACGCACGCACCCTTTGTATGCAAGTGGGAGCTCGAACTTCATCTTCAGCGCCGCTAGCTCCGTCTGGTGATAATGTCGTCTAGAAGCTGCGAGAGCACTGTCTAATGTTCGCTGCACGCACGTAGAGGCGACGAGTCCTTCGTGCTGCATAAGGGACGCGCCAAGAGAACTTGCTGATGATCCTAGCGTCTGAAGGCTCGAACGTCTCAGCTCCAGCGCAGCAAGATGTCGACGCTCGCGGTGGAAGAACGAATCCTGCTATGCAGTCGGACAAAACACTCGTTGTTAGAGTGAACAAGCGACCAGATCGACAGCTGCGTGTACCTCAGTGTCGTCGTCGTCGCCGTCATGTCCAGTTGCCAAAGCTGGTGCCATCCACACTTCTGCAACCGAAACAGCATCCATGATCTGCGCTAACTCTGCCATCGCATCAACGTCCACTTGCTTCTCTTTACGGCTTTTGCCACCAAGAGACTGTCTCTCTGATCTAGAAGAAGCTTCTGCGAGCTCAGCTAGTAGATTGCTCGTTAGTGCATCGAAGGACGAGCCCCCTGTCGTCCACAAAGTCCAAGCAGGAACATCAACATGCGACGTATCCTTCTTGTCGACAACATCCTGCCAACGCCATTGTGTCTTCTTGCTTGCATCGGACACCGGCAAATTGGCCTCGAGAAAATGCAGCGAGCGACGAACATCGCGCTTGAAAAAGTTGCCCAGCGCATCAATGAGTGACGGTGCCAACTGCAGTCCTTCGATAAAGGCTACCAGACGCATCCAAGTCGCAAACTCGTCCATGGATGGCTTGCGGAGCTCGCGACATAGCCGTCCGGGCTTAGCAGGGAATGCATCTGGCAACTGCGTGCACGTTACAACAATTGGACACTTTGCATGCTTGGCGATGGAGCACACGGCACTGAGGAAGCCTTTGTCTTCGTCAAAGATCAGGTCTGCATCCTCAAACATCACAAGTGACAATGGCGCTGCTATGGGCTGCTCCAAACTCTTGCGGCTTGTAGAGTGTCTCCTCCTTTTTTTCTTGTGCTTCGTTTTCTTCATGCCGGCCTTTGCACCCACGTGCAGCACCCGAGCTGACTGCGTAGCTTCACCTGCAAGTTCCACAACGCTCTTTCCAGAACGATTCTGGGCGGCGTTGATCTCAATGATCTCGTAGCCCAGCTCCTCGGCACATGCATACACGGCTGCAGATTTGCCTGCGCCCGACTCGCCTTCCAGAATAAATAAACGGCACAGATCACCAACCTCATCGTCACTATCGCTGTCGCCATCCTCGAACGAAAACAGCTCTGACTCGAGGCAATTCAGCTTTTCCTGATCACCACCACCGACCTTCCAAGCACTCAGCCATGATGACAGTGTGTGAAGCGCTTCGCAATTGCCAACAAGACCACTAGCATTTACCGGCAAGTAGCGGTCTACTAAAGACAAGTTCTGCTCGCGATCCAAACGTCTCGTCCTCGCCAGTTCGAGCCCCTCAAGGAGCTCGCGCACTCGTTTCTCACGCATCCCATGCGTCTCAACTAACTCATCAATCAACAATGTTTCCCTTTTCATCAGCTCTTCCATAGCCGCGTCTGCATTCTCCGCTGGACGTGGAGAGGTAACATCGATACATTCGACAACTCGAGCTCGTAAGCTGGAGGCATCCAAGTGCTCACGAAACCAAAACTGCTCACAGAACGAAGACTCGGTGGCTACTTGCCCATTCATTGCTGCTTTTAGCTGATCCATCACGCCGTCCGTCAACTTGCTTCCTCTTGCTCCATCGTCATCAGCAGCTATTACTGCCGAGGGCTTATCGACTGCAGGTACGACTCGCTTTGGTGGCGACACGTCAATAACGGTCCTGTCTATATCTCCTGCCTCTACACACGCGATCAACACGTGCTGCACCTCGGGAAATAGCGGAAATGGCTTCCCCCAGCGACCACCCCCATTCGTACTCTGCCGTTGCTTCGTCTCACCATCTCCTTGCATTTTAACAGCTCCATCATCGTCTTCGACAGAACTACCGCTTGGCTTGATACAAGCTCGCGCTTGAAAAAACGGACTAGCCGTTTTGCCGGCAAAGAAAGCAAGATCTTTCTCACGTGTCTGTCGAAGCTGTGCCCGAAACAACGACACGGTCTCGATCTCTTGCAGCTGCTTTTTCTCTTGCTCGCTCAGAAAGAACGACTGAGCCGTCTTGGCCACACTTGGTGAGCTTGTCGTCGAGTCGCCCTTCCCACACGCCAACGTCTTGAGTTTCCTGTTCATCTCTAACTTTCTCTTACGTCCACTCGTTGTCGCATTCCCTTCTTCGACTTTCTTCTTTGTCGACGGAGGTGGGGTCAAAAACGAAGCCGCCTCGTTCCTCGCAGCCACAGCATCCAGCAACTTTTGCTGCTGCTGGACTATCTCCGCCCGCACAACTGCCTGTCGCTTCGGCCGCCCAGAGCTCATCCGAGCAGTCGAAACACCCTCTTCCATCATGCAGCGATCGACCCCCGCAACTGCCTCCACCCCCACCCTCTCCGCTCTCGTCTTCCCGCTCCTCTCATTGCTCCCCCGCTTCACCTCCTCGTCCTTCTTCTTTTCCTCCTCCTCCCCCTCCTCACCAGTCTCCACCACCTCTACAGCAGCTCCACAAACAGCAGCCACCGCATCATCTCCGTCCACCGCCTCTCCCTCTTCCGTCGCAATAGCGTCACACACAGCCGTTGGCGGCGTGCAAAAGCGCGCAATCGACGGCTGCGACGCGTCCACTCGTGCGCCTGCGCCTCTGCGAGGCGCTCGCGCTCTCTTCCGCCAACTTCGTCTCGACCAATGCGCTCGCTCGTCAAACTCGACGTCGTCCGCCTCGCTGTCGATCTCCTCGACGAGCGCGCGCGTCTCGACGCTCATGGGCGGCGTCGTCTCTCGGGCGCACAACTGGGCAAAGCCAATGTCCAGCGGCAGGTGGGCGCTCGAGCGCAGAGTGGCCGCGTGCTCGCACTCTTGCTGCCGACGGTCGGAGGCGGTGGGGGCGGAGCACGCCGACAGGCGGCCGCTCAGCCAAGAAGCCAAGCCGTGCGACGCCATGGCGCGCAATAAAGTGCCTCCCGCCAAAAACGAATAAACGCGTCAAAAAAGGCGTTTGGCCCGAAAGAGCTACTTCACCGACGGGTTGTGCAAGCTGCTTTTTATATCCAGCACTTTAGGAGGCAGGCGCGACGACAGAGACATACGGCTGCTTGTTCATGATAGTGAACGTGGCTCGCAAAAGAATAGGGAAAAACTCCGTCATGTGTGCTACCGATTGGTATTTGGTACCCTCGAGTGCTTCGCTGTTACTTAGCCAGCAAGTAAACCCACCGCCAGGAACACCAACGGCAGCGACAGCAATACCACGTGTCCCTCGTCGGTAAAGCTGCAGAAACACTCATAGCCCTAGTGACCCATTGGCATCGATTGCTGGGGCATCGCCGAGCTTGGCTGAGGCATGGCCATACTCTGTGGCGGCATGGCCATGCTTTGCTGGGGCATCGCCATGCTCTGATGCGGCATGCTTTGCATGCTCTGCTGTTGAGGCATCCCTTGCGTCGCTGTGTTCACGCGCTGCATCTGCTGCGACGGAGGCATCATGCTGTAGCCTTGAGGAGGGACTTGATACCCCATGTTTGGCACCATACCACCCCGGTTGTCTGCATAGCTCGTGGAATTCGGCAAGCCATTGTTCATTCGAATAGGATGGGACATTGGCCCATTGCCGGGAGCGGCGTAAGGCATGCCGCCATTAGCATACCGCTGTTGTTGTTGTTGTTGCTGTTGTTGCTGCTGTTGCTGCTGCTGCTGCTGTTGTTGTTGTTGAGCCATCGGGTTCATTTGTCCATATTGCTGAGCCATCATGGGGTTCAACCGTGCCTGGTATTGGGCCTGGGCGTATGCTTGCGCCTGGGCTTGAGCCTGCGCTTGAAGTCGCGCTTGGGCCTGAGCTTGCGCCTGAGCTTGGGCTCTTGCCTGTGCTTGAGCCTGAGCCTGTGCTTGATATTGGGCTTGATTGCCCATGGGCATCTGCATCATTCCTGCTCCAGCATACTGCTGTTGTTGCTGCTGCTGATGCCGCTGCTGTTGCTGTAGCTGCCGTTGCTGTTGTTGCTGCTGCTGGTGTCGCTGTTGCTGTTGTTGCTGTTGTTGCTGCTGTTGTTTCTGTGACATTTGGGACTGTCCATAGACCTGTGGCGGGCGCGGAGACGTCTCGGACGACTCGTCGGCCCACTTGGCCAGCGTCATGAGGTTCTTGTTAAGAATCTTGCGCTTCTTGTCCAGTTTCTCCGTGAATTCCCCCATCTGCGCCGTCCCTTTGCCATGTTTGATCTGCGTGTTCAGCTCAATGATCTCGACGATGAGACTCGAGTTTTCGTCCAGCATGGCCTACAGAGCCCCCCCCCCGCCACACAAACACAGACAGACAGAGCTCTGATATTAGAGACAGCGTAGAGAGACAGAGTAAAGAGAGAGGACAAGGAAACGCACGACAAGCCGCCGACACCCAAAGACAAGTGACGTACCTGAATCTGCTCGGTACTAATCTGCTTCGTCTCGTGCTGCTGCTGTTGCTGATACTGCTGCGGCACTGCGTACGTGCGAGTCATCGCCATCGGCACTGCGGCCGTCATGTCCATTATCGTGTACGTCCTATGTCGGATTGTGGGGCAACGCAGTTGCGATCGGATTGGCGGAAAAGATCTGCAATCGGATTGGCGGAAAAGATCTGCGATCGGATTGGCGGAAAAGATCTGCGATCGGATTGGCGGAAAAGATCTGGCGCCATTTGACTGGCGCAAACCCGACAAAGCACCGACGGCGCGACCCCATGAGCGGCATGCAGCGGTTCCTCCGACTGAGTGCGGCCGAGGCCGAAGCCGCGATGCAGCCCACGCTCGTGGCCGGCAAGTGGAAGCAGCCGCTGCTCTCTGGTCGGAAGGTGGCACTGGTGAAGAAGCACGCGGCCCGCAACGGTCTTTTGGGGACGTGGGAAGCAGGCAAAGGCGGCTGGCTCGAGACGTGGGACCGACCCCAGCAGCACCACGTGATGCGACCACCGAAGGGCCACAAGAACCAGCGCAATGAGTTTGATCGGTACGTGATGGCGCTGCTAGTGTTGTTGTGGTTGTTGTTGTTGTTGTGTGTGGAAAGTCGTGGAGGTCTGACGTTGGTGTGTTTTTGCTGCGTGGGGATAGCGTCAAGAAGGTGCAGGCAGCGATGGCAGCGATGCCTGGCAAGATTGCTGACCACAAGAAGGCGGTCAAGCAGGCAAAGCCGCTGAAAGGGCTGTACAAGTGGCTCAATGAGACGGACCCGTATTAGGTTGCGAGACAGACGCAGCAGGTGGAACTTGGTCATTGGAGTAATTGCAAGGCAATCAAAGACACGCGTTCACTGCTTTGTCAGACTTACGCACTAGCTGCACTTGCAGTGAACGACCTTTCAACGAAATGGAGTCGCAAAAAAAACATGTTTAGCCCCCAAAAAATTAGCGAGCCCTTGCAAAGTGTGTTCAGGTCGTTCTCAATGATACAAGGTGTAGTTGTGTCCGTGCAACTTGGCCCTGTCTCAATCAATAACGCCTCTTGTAGTAACCGCTATCCTGTCATCTCCACAATGGTTTTTGCTTGAAGGTTGCGTTCGCTAGAGCCATCTCAAAGCAAAGCAATAAGCGCTGCCATGGAGGATCGACGGCAAGTGCAGGAGACCTTTGCCTCTGGCGCTGGGTACTCTCGGAAAATAGGAGTCAAAAAGGCCTTCTTTGACGACACCTTGTGCCGAACCTTAACGTAACGCGACTTCTCTGGGCTGATGCTGCAGCGTCGCGAGTTGACCCAACAGTGGTATCTGTGAAGTACCCGTATTGATCCAAATCATGTGCTACGCGCGTATCGCCATGGGTTTTCGGTGCTTTCCGTTAAATTTGGGATGGGTCTTACGACCAAATGTACTGGCGTGAAAACTAAACAAAGCTTGGAAAGCAAATGCCAGTAAAACGCTACCGGATAGACGTGCGACGGCAACCCTTATAATGGACAAGATGCAGCAGAGCCACATGTATCATTAGCATAAGAAGTCAAGTGTTGGGGGAGCTGCGTTGCTTCCGTGTTCTATTGAACTGGCTGAACACGTCGCGGAATGCTTGCTGTAACGCAGGACTTAAACTTGCTCTGTTAGGGTCTTGCATCATCCGAAACGTTTGACACAACTGCACCTCACTGAGGCTCTGATGTCCAATGTGCAGTTGGGATCGATGGCAGTTGACAGGATGGATGGATTAAGATATTATGACGCACTGTCAGTTAGGCACGGTAGAGCCGTTCTGCTCGATAAAGCATTCGCACTTTTACCCCGTACTCCACTAGTCCCTCTCAAGCAAGGCGAAGCGGGACCGATCACCCCTCTGCAAGCCACGCGTGCGTCATTTTGATATATCAAATATGATCTACATCGGATAAGGGACACGAGCGTTCTTTAGCATGGGCCACCAAAACGAAGACGGATATGCCACCTACATAATGGTGATAGCACCAGCAACTGCCGACCTCCCAGCGGAGACGGCAATTATCAAGATAAAGAAATTCTCTAACGGGTCCCCACGAGAATGGCTCCGCTGCAGCAACCAGTTTCGCAGTCTCACCCGGAAAAAATCAGTGGACAGACGAACTGAAAGCACGTAACATTGTCGCGCTCATTGACGGCGATCTTGCAACTGAGTTGAAGTGCTCGCACAAGAGGCAGTTAGCTTAAGCAAGACTTTCGACCAGTTTTACACGGAAGCGGGGATATTGAATATCCCATACGACTACAGCGAAGATCTGGAAAATGAGCTGTGGACGATGGTGAAGCACAGAGACGAGACGGTGCCCAAGTTCTCGCAGCGACTCCACGAAAATATCTGGTTGTTGGCTGAGGTGCCGCAGGATGCCGAAGAGATTTTATAGGTCCAGCAATGCCGTTGCTTTAAGTGCGGAATGCTACGAACATGGCAAGATAAATTGACTGCAGCAGGCGTTGTGTATGACCAGCTCACTGAATTGGTGTTTTACTTCACGTAGATCGAAAAAGCTGAGCGACAGCTCGCCTCCCGCGATAGAAACGCAGACAAATGACGGGAACAGCAATGCGCAAAAACGAAACCAGCACAAGACTCAAATTTACCAAAAAGGATTCAAGAACCGGCGAGAAGGGAACAAGGAAAAGACGAATGGTCCTAAAGACAATCGCGAGCGAGACAATTGGTGTTCACTTCGTAAGACTGCGTCGCACAATACCAGAGACTGCTACACCTTAAAGAAAAGGGAGGCTGAAGAGAGCAAGAGCGCTGATGTTCAACTTCGAGCAAATTGCAAGGAAAAACGAAAGTACCCACGTGTGTCACAAAAAGCTGATTCGACCTCCGAATCCGGGTCCGATCTGGATGCAACCGAAGAAGATCACAAACTAACATTCGTCGGCTTGGTTGAAAAGAACAAGCTGCCTACAAGTGCACTGTTGCGCATAAGTGTCAAGCTACAGCGAAGACAAGAACCGATAGAAGGCCTGCTTGACAGTGTAGCCTCAAAGAGCATCATCAATGGGGTGACGCCCGCAACTGTTGTGAAGATGGGAAGAAACTACGTTTCAGTCTTTGCAACTGTATTCGAAACGACGCGCGGCTTAATTACAAGCAACGGAACGGTGGTAACGAAATTCTTTTCCCCCAGCTCAAACCTGACAACATAACAACACATAATTTGAAGTGATGAATGATAGCAGCGACAGCATGGTGATCGGCAGAGGCATCATGAACGCGCTAGGATTGATTTTTAACTTCAAAGACAAGGTGGTGCAGTGGGAAGAATGTGTGCTCCGACTAAACACGGGGCAGGAATAAGGACAGACTAGGCTTGGTCGGACAAGAAGAAGTCGAATTTTCTGATGAGTCGAAGGAAGCCAACTAAATGGCTGTTTCACCCGAAGCACTCCTGCCAGACTATCTCCAATCCGACATAAAGCTGAAATACTTGGCACTATTGGTAAACTACAAAGAGCTTTAGAACGGGCACCTTGGG